TCTTCCTTAGTCTATGCGTTTGTTGTGGGTAAACTGAACCATAAACTGGAGAAGTATAAATAACACCATCAGTTTCTATATGAAGTATAGATTATTTTTGTAAATAAAAAAGAAGTATAAATTATTTTTAACTACTTTACGCACAACACTATCATTTTCTATCTTTAATGGAATGTTTATTACGAGAGAAGACAAGGGGAAAAAATTTAATGAGTTCGATATAAAAAATTAAAGGAGTGAAATTAAACACATTTAATTAATTTTTCTTATTTTTTATCTTACATCTTATGATCTTTATTAAAATTTTAGATGGAGATATAGGTTATTTTCTCTAAATTTTATAAATTTTAAGAGTATTTTCACATATATCAAGACAAAACTCTTCTTGCATATTTTATTTCATACATTGTAAAATCACTTCAAAAAAACTAATCCAAACACCTTATCCATCTTTATTCAAAAATTTAAAGTTAAAATTTATGAATAGTTTCGCTTATTAAATATAATTAACGTGGGGCTTTCTACGTTAGCTCAATAATTCATTTACACTTGCAATCTTGCACATCTAAAGATATGCTTATTTAATAACTTAGTCGGGAGAAATTTATCTTTTGGCTCTTATTAATACTTTGAAGGAGATAATTCGTAGGCACAATGTAAAGTCATACGAGTATTTAATGATATCTTTTTAAAAGCTTGAGGGATGTTAAAAATTATTGGATCAAGGTGTAAATTTGTTTAAAAAATTTTCACTTAAAAATGCTGAGTACTCAATTTTTTTTAATGTAAATTTGCCTTGAATTGCATCAAAGTTGCTCTTCATCATTAAAAAAACTAACTTTGAAAATTAAAATGATGACATCGAACATTAAAATTTTCAATCGAAAGAGGTAATATTATTATAATTTTAAATTTTGGGTCAAATTTACACTAAAAAAAAAATTTAAAGTTGCCCAGTATTCTTAAATAAAAACTTTCAAAAGGAATTGCACTTAACATAGATTATATTAACAAAATCTGACTTTTATTTTTCCATGCATGTAATGATAGGCAAAATAAGAGAGAGAAAATTTTTTCCACAAACCAATTGCTTCTACAGTTTAATGATTTGTGTGCATTAATAAACTTATGCCTTACACTGCACTCCCTCTTTCTCGTAATTATAATAAGTTTTAAATAACTAAATTATGTAAATAAAAAAGTTGATGAACATATTAATTTATGATGATGGTATAGATGATACTAGAACATGAAGCTTAAACCTAACTTCAAGTGAGCACATCATGAGATTTTATTGTAAAATTGGGAAATCCAATATTTGAAGATCCTAGAACAATATATTTTAGTTTAGTTTTGTTTCTTAACAATAGATTTGGTAATTACTATTCTCAAATAATTCAAACTTGAGTTAGGTTAGGCCCTAATTGAAAAGAAACTTTTCTAGCATGATTTTTTTTATATTTACTAGAACTTAAATTTAAAACCTCACTTGAGATAGTGTTAATCCCTTACTTCCTTAGCCCTCAATCTGAGTGTAATTAGTTAAAGAAAACAATAAACTGCTCAGAATATCACCCATCACAATACCATTCTAGTTCTAATATGTTGAACAGTAAAATTTTGTTAAAACATGATACTCATCTGGTCTTATTTATAGTTATAAGATAACTAAAACGTAATTTTCTCTCTCTTTAATATAGGTCACATGATTAAATTTATGATACAAATATTTAGTTTTATCCCTAATTTGTTGTTCAATAAACTTTTATTTTCTCATATATGAGGTAACAATTAAGTTAAAAAATTATTAAATTTTAAAATAGAATTAATAAAAAATTTTAAAAAATTATTCTGATAAAACATGTTAAAAGGTAGCTTTTACATATAACTAGGGGAATGAAATACAACTGGCTTGCTATAAAAACTTCCTTGTTTTTGACCAAATTTGTGTTGTAATGATGAAACGAAGAAAATAGGACGGACGGTGAAATCATATCTTTGTCCCCCGTTGACTTTAATTTGGATGGAGTTGACTTATCCGAAAGTGACCCAAACAGCATATAGAATGTTGATGGCCTCATCATTATGTCCCCTTTGAGTTTGACTAATTACCCATTCCTAATTAAGTTGATTGAACCTGGCCTACTAGAAAGTTCCCCGGCTTGTATCATTGTATGGGAAAAAAATAAATAAATTTTTATTTATTATATGATTGATTCATTTTTTATTACGGGGAAATATACTTGTTAGTAAAATCAGAAGCAAATTATATGAAAATCTGTAAAATTTTATTATTATCAATAAATTCTTTCTTGAATTTTATTAAATTTTTTTCTCTATTTTAAAAGTTTATTAAGACCTTCTGCTTGAAATATAGACTATATGGCTAGAATCTCTCTTTATGTATTTCGAAATTTCATGGAGCACACACAAACTTATTAAAACTTTAAATATATGTATAGTTTTGAAAAATTTTAGTGGTGGTTGGAATAGTTTTTTTTGTAAGAAAAATATTTATATGAATTTTTAAAGTAAAATAAAAATATAATAATTTTTGTAAACAATAAGTAATATGAGTAATTTATCTTTATTTTTAGCCGAGACCTAAGTTTTAGGGGACAATTATATCCCCACCTGACACATTACAATCTCTCTAAACCTTGAACCCTAAGTTACACTGGCTCATGATGCCATGGTGGCAGTAGGCATTGGACAGAAAGATCTAAGTTTTGGAGCTAAAGTATACATAGACATAATTTTAATAATTTACTAAAAAATCAACAATTTATTTCATTTTATTGTTCCCATCCTAAATATAAAAGTTAGTTAAAGAGTTGGTTTTAATATTGAATCTAAGACTTTAATACATGTTATTTTTCATATTTATCATTTTTCTCTAAATTAACTTGTTTAATTTATAAACTGAAATAATAAACTAATATTATACAAGGATTTTTCAAAAAGATCAAGTCATATTTATTAAAATTAAATAATTTATTTAGTTTTTTCTAAGATAAAGAACCTGAAAAGACATAAGGGCACCCACAGCTTTTATAGCCAACTTGTTCTCTTTTGTCCATCCTTTTTTCAGTTTATGGCCATTAATGTTATTCTACTGAAATGTCTCTGAAAAAGGCAATGCCCATGCCTCACTTCTTTTGCCCCATTTTTCTGCCTTTTTGTTTCAAAAATTAATTTGGTTTTAGTTTACGTGCCTTTTGTTTTGTTTTCATTATTTATGTTCTTATTTTTAAGTTATTGCATAAAACTTATAAAGCAACTAGCATTTTTCTTTCAACAGGATATTTGATTTGGATATTATTAAGTGATAATAGAAGATAGACGGATTGAAAGAGACAAATAAGATTAAATTAGAACTTATTGTTTTTAATAAAAGATATATTTAAACTAATTTTAACCAACCTTTTTTTATTTATGTGAATTAGCTAAAAATGACTTTTAATTGATAAATAAGAATAAAGCGAGTATTACAACTTTCAGTAAGACATGGTTTTTCCCCCCTCCAATAGTCTGATCACTGTTCATGCGTTATTTTGTATACAAACTCCAATCATTGATACACACACAGGATTAACATTATTTTTAGCTCATTAGATTCTTTGTAAATGGTTCAAATTCATAATCCTACGCTTAAAAAAGGTCTTAAAAGAGATTATTAGTGTATTTAAATGCATATGATTAGTAAGAGTATTTTAAAAAAGATAATATTGGTTTATTATAAATAACCAAGTTACTTAATTTTTTTGATATTTGTAAATTAGTTACATAACTCTTATACTATCTCGAGTTTTTAATATAAGAGTTAGTTTGATTTTTAATTTGATTTTAAATATAAAACTCTAATCCATTTTGTTTTTCATATTTATTCATTTTTTTAAAGTAGTCATTGTAATAGTTAATACACATGAGTAGTAAAGGTATTTTAACGAAGACAATACCTATTTATTACAAATGAATAACTTAACAAACTTTTTTAATCCATTTAAATTAGTCAACTAGCTCTTATATTAAGAAGTAAATGTAGTATTAAGAATGCAGGTAGTATATTATTGGTGCAGCACCCATTTTTATGGAAATCACAATCTTGGTTGCATTTTTTACCTTTATTTTAAAGTCACCTAACTGGGCTAAGCTTTGTTGCGCATGGGCCCAATCTTTTTGTGAGGCTAATATGGCTTACTTTCTTGAATTTCTATAGTGGAAATTACAAATTGCTGATATTTACATACGATTTTTCAAAATAACCACCGAAATTTTTTTTGAAAAAATCCCCAAAAAACACTTTTAAATTTTAAAATTTCAAAACAATCTTGTTTATTACGCTCTAATAATAGCTGACAACATTTGAAAAGTAAATAACAACACATTTTTATAATCATTCCTGATTCAAAGTTTAAGATTTTAGAGGTATGGTTTTGAAATTTTTCCAAACCTTTTCTTTGGGGTGTCACAAGCTCTTTCATGACTAAACATTATTAAATCATAAAATTCTCCTTCAAACACTACTTCTCAATGATTAAAAAAAAATGTAGTAGCTGAAATTAGTTGGATTAATAAATATGTTAAAAATTTAAGCTTCTTTCCAGATATAACCTCATTTAATAATTGGTTCGTGGCTTTTAATAATTAATCTCATGAATAAGTACTCTTTTTTTAATAAGGGCATAAAAAGAATTTTTCAATAAATGCTCCAGAAAAGAGGTTGTCGTTTATCATAAACAGGATCAAAAGAATCCTAAAAAAGTTCTCTTATAAAAAGGGTCGAAGGGAGTATAACTATATCATGATACTTGAAGAATTACATCTACTCTTATATCACAGCATATCCTAGGATACCAGAAAAAGGAGGAAAAACTAAGAAAAAGACATCTTCAAATGTTTTTGGCTATTGTTTTTTTGGGGGGGGGGTGTTCAGAAAGAAATATTCTAATTTAGTTGAAGGAAAAAGAGCAAAATTTGTGCTCATACCTAAGTGTTGGTGGGTGTAATCACGAATTTATATCTTATAACCTATACAACATACTATTTGGGTTTGTGAAACCCAGATTTCAAACTTGGTATACCATTCCAACTTCCAAAGATGATGCATGAGGCATGTCAGGGACATAAGGAGCTGCCCTAGTGTTCTTCCTCAAGAATTCATACCCAACATTGATCACTAACTTCTTCAGCAAACTAGACCCTCCCTTAGCTCTCATATAATATTGCCCCGTAATGTAAACCACTCCAGCTTCTCTCGCTTCCATGAGCTCATCTAGTTCTTCTCTAGCTTCATCATCAATCCCCGGACTCTCTGGTACTACAAATCTCACCCTCTTCCTGGGTTGGATCTCCGAAGTCTCAGCTAAGTCCGTGTGATTTTGATTATTAGTGCCCTCGCTCATTGTTATGGTATGTGTGGAGCATGTCCCTACAACTGTCATTTTCTGAGTTTGTTCAGGCTCTTGGCTTGGAGAAGCAGTGTTGAACTCAGGACTACTGTTTCCTGTGCGGATGAACTCTGCTATGCTGCACACGAGATCATTCTCGAACTCCAAGTCATCTTTGTGGACATTGCGGTAGCCATAGCGCACTATGCATCGGTAGAGTCTGAACTGTCTTGGCCCTATTCGGCCTACTAGGAAGCGTTCCTTGGGGGAGACATGAGGAACTGGCACATGTTTGATGCAGAGGAAGACTAGGACTCGGTGGAATGCTGGAAGGTTGGTCACAAAGTGGGAGAAGATAGCAGGGATTCCAGAAACAAGATCGGTCTGAATTAGACTGATCCCAGGAACCCGGACAATGCCTATGCTGGGACTTAGGCTGAGGAGCCAGTTGATGGAGACTTTGTTTTGGACATCAAATTCATACTTCTTGAGGGTGCCATAGTGCCAGATATACATGACAGTGAGAAATACAAAGGCCAGAGCAATTGAAACCCATGCTCCTTCAAGGAACTTGACAAGAGAAGCTGAGAAGAAGACAGCCTCAATGGTGCCAAATATAGCAACAAAACCAAAAGCAAGTATAAATCTCTGCTTCCAGCACACTGCTATAACCAGTGACATCAAAATAGTGGTGACCAGCATAACTGTTATAACTGCCAAACCTACGTTGCAGAACACGGTGCGTCAGTTTCATTGTTGAGCTTGAGTTAAAATAATCATTAACAAAAAATTAATTTTCTATAATCCAGAGAGCAGAAGTGAAACTTCAGCACAAGATAGCCTTTTGTGTGAGGAAGAATGTGAAAGATTATAATGAGACTGTTCATGATCTTTCACTCAACAATGAATAGGAAACATGTAATGATTTGTCACAAACCTGCTGCATTGCCCAAGTGCTTGGTGTTCCTGAATCCGATAGTTACAGCCAAGCACAATAACATCAATAGCCAGTTGATCTCGGGGATATATATTTGGCCGTGAATTGTGGATGACGTGTGTACCACTTTAACTCTCGGGAAGCAGCTTAATGCCACGCATTGCTTGATAATTGAGAAAGTTGCAGTGATGATAGCTTGGCTTCCCACAACTGCAGCAAGTATGGCTATTACCAGAACAGGCCATCTCAGTTTATCTGAAGGGATGAAAAAGAATGCCAGTTATTCAAGAACCTGTTAATCAGTTTTACTAATCCTCTCCCAGATGAAGAACATATTAGTCTAACCTACCTGGCACAGATGCGTAAAACCCAAAGTGATAGCTGTGGATGATGTTGTGATGTTTAGATAGATAAGCAGCATGCCCCATATATGCAAGAACTATAGATGGATAAACCACAGAGGTGAATGCCAGCTGCAGAACATATCATCATAAGATAAACAGGAAATTTCCAAAACAAGGTAGCAAAAAGAAATAAAATGTGGCAGTTTTTATAAGGAACATATGCTTTCTAACAGTGTCTAAGAAACTAATAAATACTGGAAAACAAGTTAGGGACAGAAAGGATAAAAAATTGCAATAACAGAATCTCTAAAGGATTTTAGCTTTGTCACTGAGCATCAGTCCATCTATATGCAAAAGAATTTCTAGTCAGTAAAATTTTGGAAATGCGATTGGCTTTTCACACGTAAATTTAATGTAAACTGTGAACATGCAGGAACAAGTATATGGCCTTTTAATTCCTACGTTGGCTATTATGAAGAGATTTATCCAATTATATTCGGCAATTCCTATTCCTATATACTTTTCGACTTTATAGTTGAATATGGAAATGATTCGCTCTCTATACTTTCTCTCCACACACAATCTTCACAGTTCATTTGATTGACCATTTAATATAATCTCTATGCATTTATTATTATCACTTGAATGTTCTTGGAAACAAGATTATAATGTTACGGCAGAAACTAAATAAATAACATGTTTTGTTTAATGCCACAAACAATAATCTTCTGCCGTTAAATTAAATAGGCAATTAAATGAACAGAGAATATTGTGTAAGGAGAAAGATACAAAGAGAAAGTAATAAGAGAATCCATTTCCATTAAATACTGTCTAGTGCCTTTCTTTCCACATATCATTAGCATGACATAATCTTCAGTATTAACATGTTTTGTGGACTAAGAAATGGCGGCAACTATCGGGACATTCTTAAAGGATATACTGAAGCAAATATAAAATCACCAACATATGATGCCCATATAAAACTTTTGAAGGTTCCTAAGAGCTCTGAAAGTAGAACAAACGGCACAACAAAATATACAGAAAGAGAATACAAAACTGAATCATTTCACAAGGAACATATACTGCACCTCAGGAATTTAAACAACAGAGTTGTTACCACTCATGCATTAAAAGTCAAATTAATTGCAACTTTTGGTGTGAAATTTCAAGTAGTCAAGTTTCAGCACGAAGTATTAGAGTACTATATTGCATTTGTATTTAATAGGAGGGTGATTCACTTATCCTATCCACACTAAATTCATGTTTTTAATAAAAAGTACCTTGATTGATAATTGTGAAAAGTGGCCGAGATCAGCAAACATAGCTTCAGATCCTGAGAAGTTGAAAACATAAATTAGAAAACCATCTGATTATTGACATAAAATCAGAGCTAGCCATGAAGTAAACAAACAAACCTGTTATGCACAACAAAATTCCACCAAGGGACACCCATTTTGCTCCTCGAGTTTTCCTCAAAAATCGGCAAACATAATATGGAGAGAGCGCTACATACACTTGAGGATTCCAGTAAAATATATTATAAACACCAATAGCACCGATGGAGAAAAGCCATGTGAAAATTATTGGAGCGAACAAGAAGCCAACCCTGTGAGTGCCATAATGTTGAAGAGCAAACAAGCATATCAGTATGACGCATGCAGCGGGGACTTCTACATCTGTCAGGCAACAAGTTCTCTAGTGAGTTCAACAAGGGAAATGCGCCATGAGGCTCAGATAAAGAAGAATGGCAGTATCACAAATATAAATGCTGATAAAAACAGGACGATATGTCATGGACAAACAGTAGAGGTGATTTATCTCTAGGTCCAAAAAGATTAAAACAACTCAAAGCATGCAGAAGACAGAAGCCCCATTTTGGTCCTTCAGAGACGAGTCTAATATCATATGGTTAACTCAAGTACTTTTTTTGTATCACTTTAGCACTTCAACTTTATTTCATTTCAATTCAATCCTTTAGTATCATTTTAGTATCTCTCAAAGGATACTTTGCCAAGTTGGAAGAAAACCATACTTATCAGTCTCAAGATAATGATACCAAAATCTTCAAAGGAGGCAATTGATAGTGCAGGCATGTTTGGATGATTGAAATGGGATTTTTGTGCAAAAAGACTCAGTATAGTGGTGAACTTACATCGGTGATGCTCCTTGGACATTGAAAGCTCAACACCAGACACAGCAGACAGCACTGCATTTATTCGAACAACCAGGGATTAAATGATCCCATAAAATCTCAACATCAAACCAAAACATATAGAAAGTTAGTCCTAATCACCAGAAAGAGATGGCGTGACGACCCCATCACCAATCACCATGCTAGTCCCAATCAAAGCCAGAACCAGCAAAATCTTCTGCAAAACCTTATGCTTCTCCAAAGCCATCTTCATCCTCGAGGCAAAGCACCTTTCTGGTGTTACATTACAATATCCCTTCTTGTACCCTGAGAGCTCTTCGTCTGCCAATTGTCGATTGTGCAGCGAGCTGACTCGGGCATGGCGACACAGCAAAGAGTATAGAGCAAATGTGCCTCCTTCTCCATTATCGTCAGCTTTGAGCACAATAAACACGTATTTGATTAAAGGAATCAGTGTAAGAGCCCAGAAAACCAAAGAGAAAACACCATAAATCTCTTCGTTATTCTCTGTGAGGGCGATAGGTTCAGCAAATGTGCTTCTGTAAACGTACAGTGGTGAAATGCTTAAATCTCCATAGACAACTCCAAGGCTCTGATATGCCAGAGTCAGAACCGTCTTCCATGGTAGTCTCTACAATGGGGAAAAAACCAACATTCTGATTGAAGACTGAAAAGATTCTAACCAAACTGCTCAAAACAGAGAAAAATGTAAACTTCGATGATCATAAACGAATATGCCCAACTTACCGTAGCAGAGTTTTCACGAATCCCACAGTCCAGATCCATAGTAAATGCTTTTAGAAATCAATTAGAGCCATTTTACTGAAAACACAAGCTTTGTGGAGACTCAATTGCAGAAATGAGAAACACCACCGCAAGCTTGACAGCTAAGGTATAAAAGAATTGGGCATTAATATATTGACAAAAAAAAAGACTATCCTTTTTAATTATGTATCTCGAATTTTTCGAATTCTGTAAAGGTGGCGACTTTCCATATTTATGATGAGGTTATAAACAAATGCAAGGAACCCATTATTTTTCTCAGTGAAATATGAGGATTGAACGAGGAAGCAGCTGTGAAAAGGACTTGCCCCAGCTTTCATTTTAAGGATTGCGGTTTGAATATGTCAAAAGAGATAGTGATGTGTGGAGGAATCATACGCATCACATGAACAGCCACCGGTAGTTACCAAGAGTGAACAGACTCGAAACCCCAAAAAGCCAGAAATACTGTGACCCTGACCCTTTTTGACTCCACTCTCCACTCCCCCAAAAATTAACAAGGAGGGGAGAAAAGGGGAAGAAGAGAGAGAGGGTGGGGAGCGCCAACATTTAAGAAGATTTATTCCCCTGATTATAAGATGTCTTTTTAGAAGGGTTATTTAATTTTTGGATTTAAAGGATAGGTGCTAACAGTTTGACATTATAAATTGAATTAAACTCCCATTTATGAGAAAAATTTTGATGCTATATTACAAAAGCTATTAGGTTTTGTGATGTTTATATTCTTTTAATTGATAAGAGTGAACATAGGCCCGCTTGGTGTAAAATATTAAAAATGAGAGATAAGAATTAAAATTATAATTGAAAAAAATCATTAAATTTTTTTTTAGAATAAATCATTACTTGTTACATAGGATTAGATAAACTCATGAAAGTAGGACCGAAGAATACTACTTCTCACATAATATTCATTAATCTCATATATATAAGTTTGTCTAATATCATGTAATAAGCAATCTCTCATACTAAATACTATTTTTTTTAATCTCAATTCTAATATTTATCTCTCATTTTCAATAAGTGTGTTAGATTTTTCTAACAAATTTAGCAATATTTATATTGCCTCTCTACCTTATAAATAGAATAACAAGAGTGTACAAGTACGAATGAAATGCTTGACTAGACACTTAAAGAAGTGCCAATTATTGATGGTTCATTGAGTTTTATCAACATGTGAGCGTAACCGAAATAATGAGATGGAAAAACAAACACACAGAGAAAGATTCGAACTTTTTTTTTTTTTTTGGGTTTGCGCGTTTTCTCCCTTCTGGTGCGATAGGGAGAGGCTAGGGGTTGAGCAGATACGGGTGAAAGGGTTGAACCGGTGAGTAGATGAAGAAACTGATCATCACCCATGGCGTATGAGAATTGAGAAGCTCTACGTGGCAAAATCCACACTTGGTTCTAACTCTGCTCATTATTATAGTACTCCTCCAATCTTTAATATAAAACCTAATTATTAAATTAATTTTTATTTCAAATATAAGACCTATTTCTCATATTTATCAATTTTTTTTCTAAATTATTCATATGAATATTCCGTCAACCATAATCAAGTAGGTGAAGAGTAAGGATATTAAGAAAGATGATTATAGTATTTTAAGAAAAACATGTCATATTTCTTATAATTAACTAACTTACCTGACTCCTTAATCTAATCAAATTAATTAAATAGATCTTATATTAATAATGGGAGGCGTAGTTTCCTAATATGCTTCTAAAGATTTGAGAATGCTTTGCTTTTTAAGAAAAAGTGTAAAATTATATAATTATTTTTTGAATTTATTTGATTTCTCTCCTACTCTTGTCAATATACTCGAGCACAAGATCTCATGTTCAAGCCGTCAAAATCTCTTTAGCTAAAACCAACGTCTATGGGTTGAGAAAAATCATTTTTATTTTGAAGATAATAATATTTTTTAAAGATTGTAATATGTTTGTTGAAGCTTTTTAAAATAATTTATTTTGAGAAAATACTTGCGTTAATTTTTTTAGGAAATAATTTGTTATCATGGATATATACATGAGAGAAAATATTGAAAAAGAGGGAGATGGTTATAAAATTTGAAATTTATCTTCGGCAAATTCATTGTGGTTCAAGAAATGTTGTCCATAGTCGGCACAACAAATGTAAATATTGCTTCTTCTTTTTCTTTTTGTTTTTTTTCCCATTGTTTTTTTCTTTTTGGCTGCATTGGCTGTTTCTCTTTTGTTGGATTTAAAACTTACGGTGAATCCTTATGTCATTTTTTTGTTTAAAAAAAAACAGAAGATTGTATTGTAGGATCGGCCAATAGGAAAACAATTAGTTCATAAATCAAGTTTCAATTTTGATGCTAGCCAGAGTTTTTTTTTTTTTTTAAACACAAGCACACCTAACTTCTTAGAGAAGTAATCATGTTTTAAATGCTATTTATTATTAAATGTAAGCATCTCACAAGATAAATTTGAATATTTGTTTGCTATATTGTGAGAAACCAATATTTTTCGCTAGACTTAATCCACGTTAGTATGCCAATCATAATTAACTTAACCTCCAAAGTCATCATAATGAAAAGTGTTTTTTTTAATTAAGAGCAAACATTAACCATATATGAGATTCTAAGTAAAATCAAACTCACCACCTCCTATTTTCAAATGGAATCAAACTCACAATTTCTTATGTCATTAGAGCACAAAAGGGCACGACCTAAAAAGTGTTTTTTTTTCCAAATAATTTATACTATTTTATTTAAAGGGCGTAATCTCAAAAAAAATATTTTAAAATTTTAAATCAGTCTTATTTATTATACTTTAATAAAATTGACAATATTTGAAAAGAAAATAACAACATATTTTTGTAGTCATTTCTGATTTTGGATTTTAACATTTTAGAAGTTTTTTTTTTTTCATATTTTTCCTACTTAAACAATTAATTATTTCTTAGAGCATCATCCGTGGACGGTATAGACTAATGTTTTCTCGAAGTATGAAAGGCAAACAAATCTCATTGTTCTTAATGAATCATTTACTTGTTGGGTTTAAACAAATGCCATATCTTTAATATGCTTATTTCTGATCTCATCAAAATGAATATGATTTAAATTTTTTAAAAAAAGTTTAAAATGTTGATAATAAGAGTTGCTTTTATGGTAAGTGGTTAATAAAATAATATACGTGTTTTGATCTCACTGGAAAAAATATATAATTTCTTTTTATAATAATGATAATATTTCGTTTATTAAAAAACAAATTACATCATAATGCCTCGTAATAACTATGTAATTTTGTTCCGTGGCCAAAAATAACTAAGTTATAATAGCTTCTTCTTTTTTTCCCCCACAAATCACAACTTAATATTGCTGTCATCAAAATTTGAATTCATTTGTTGTTATTACACAACTTAGTATTATTTGGATGATGCCTCTTAACTAAGTTATTATTAGTAAAGTAATGAGGAATAACATTTTACATAATCATAACTAATTGGTATTAGTCCTGATATAAACCAAAAAAAAAAAACAATAGCTTACTCATTAAATATGACTTAATAATACTAGATATGTTATAATTATATAAAAAGAATCACATAATCATATATACATATCTAATTTTTATTTTTCCCTTTTCTTAAATTAAAAAGTATTAAAGTAAATATTTACTTATTTTATTGTGAAGAATGATTATTGTCTAACTTAATGAAATTTATTAAAGATATTTAATTATTTTAAACGTGCAATGGGCAGCTTATTAAGGTGCGCTAGCCCAATGATTACTTGAAAAGTATTGCCGTACTTTCATAGACGTGTGATTAACGTATGGCCGCAAATGATTAAGAGGCGGTTGATGACTCCTTATTGACTGGTGGATATGAACTACTACTTCCAATCTTAATTATAAAAGCTAGTTGACTAATTTAAAAAGATTAAGAAAAGAAGTTAAACTAATTATTTATAACAAATAAGTGTTAGCTTTCTTTAAATATCCTTACTAATTAAGTGTATTGGCTAGAACTACTATTGTTAGAAGAATTATTTTGAGAAAAAAATACATAAATATGAAAGACAAAATGAATTGGGGTCTTATATTTAGAACCAAAATAAAAATCAAATAAAGTCTTATATTAAGGACCGAAGGTAGTACTTATGATCTAACCAAAATATTATCCACCAAAAAAGCAAGATTATACTCCCTCTTTATACAAGATATTGTCAAGATAACTAATTTGATTTTTTCCATTTTTATTGTTATTAAATATAGGAGGAGATAACAAAAATGTAATATCAAAAGCGATTTTATCTTTTTTTTTAAAGGATAAAATAGGAAAACTCTATTATTTTAGGACAAATTGAATGACTAAAGTTTTATCTCTTGATATGTAAGAAAAGTTAATCAGCTTGTTATATTATAAACAAAAAGGAGTACCACATTTATTTATTTTTTTTTCCAACACTTCAATTTTATATTTTATTATTAGATTCTTAATTAAAATGTGATGAATATGTATAAGAAAATATACATGTATTATCTATGTTTATTTAGAATTCTAATTCTAATTTCATTAATTTTTTAGACAAATTATATTTTTATTAAAATATAAAATAAAGAAATAGGAAATAGCTTACATGTTTGGTGTTTGTGGTTTTTTTTTTTCCAATTTTTTGTCACAATAAGAATAACTTTCAGTTCTTAATATAAGAGTTAGTTATGAATATAATTTAGTCATAAATATAAGATCTTAATCTACTTTAAGTCTATTTAGTTCTACAATTGATAAGACAATTGAAATGTTAACTGTTAAGTCATTCCAAACAAGTAATTTGTTTTTCAAATTTATAATTTGTTTTTAAAATATCTCTATAACATTATTGATTATACATATTAAGAATGTTCTCACCAAAAGGATAGTTTAAAAAAAAATAACAAACGTGTTGGAAATAACTGACCCAACTAATTTTATTAATAGCCATAAATAAATTATCTAATTTTTGTATTAAAAAAATCAGAAGCAGTATTTATTATATTGATTATAAAAGATTCAAACTCACCACTTGATGTTGCCTACTTGAAATTTTATAATTACCCACTCTCTAGTGCTATTATAAGCATCATCTTTCTCTTCTCTACCAGATGGTACTAGGAACCCTAAAAGAAACTGTAAAAGGCATTCTTGTTTGCTACAAAAAACTGTTTTTTCCAAAACATGTCTCCCCCTTTTTTTTTTTTACCAGCA